ATTCCTTGTGCTGAATTGCTTATAGACTAAGTAGACAAGACAAATGATAAGTTTTGTTTTTAGCTAACACAACTTGTATTATTTGTTTTGTCTAATTGGAGTTGCTTTTGGTTTACCTTGTAATAAACACCATAGCTATTCATATATTGAAAGTCATGCAACTAGGTACGGCTGTTAAGATTGCTTTTGTTTACCTTGAAGCTGCTTAATTACAGAGTATATACTCTGAATTTCTCCCAAGGATATGGCTTCTTGTTTCTAGAAGAAAAAAAAACCCATGTGAACAGTAGTGTTTGTTGTTTGTTATAAGGAAAGCTTGCCATGATTGAAATTTTGTTGCTTTTAATCAGTGAAATACACACTCTGTGCCAGTATCAGTGTCCATGTCACACTGCTTGTGTGATACTTTTCTGCTTGTGTAATGGTATTGGACTAAAGTGGGGAAGCATGGGAGTGCCTAGTTGTAAACCTAAATCAAGGACTATGGAAATATGGTTGACACTGTATACTGCTATATAAGGAAAGCAAAGTTTCTGTGTACTCTCTCATTCTCTCTAGTTCTGAGCATGGTACTTTGCATTTCTCTACTACCTTTCATAAGATCTCAAGCTGCTTTTCAGATGTTCGTTAATTCAAAGCCTCAAAACATCTTTGGTTGGTATTCTTATGTCTTTGTTCTCTATTGTGAAATAGGCAAACAGTTTAAATTAGCAACAAAGGTGAAAATATAATAGATCCTCTGATTTGCTGTCTTGTGCTTTGGATATTTAGAAAAATCCCATTGGTAAGACTAGAAATATATGAATAGTTATATTACTGGCCTCCTGATTGAAAAAAGACTGTCTGAGTGCAAAATTTCAGGGGAAGTCAGAGGCATCAAGGGGTACATCTACACTGCAAGCTTATTTTGGAAAAAGTTATTCTGGAAGATATCTTCTGGAATAGCTTATTTCAAAATAAAGCATCCACACTACAGGGAAGCCTCAAAATTAGTATGAGGCAGGCTCCCCTTATGTGGATGTGCTATCTCAATTTAGAGCCCGAGGAGGCACTGGGGAGAAATAACTTTAAAATGGCCCAGGTATAGAGCTATTTTGACATAGCAGCAGTGGAGTGTCCACACACACCCTTTTCTGAAAGATCTTTTTTGGAAGAGGTGGTGTTCCTCATGGAATGAGGTTTACTAACGTTGGAAAAATCCCTCCGTTCTTTCAATTTTCTTTCGAAATAACACAATTGCTGTGTGGACGCTAGTATTGTTTTTCAGGAATAACGGCCATTACTCCGGAAAAATGGTGCAGTGTAGACACACGCTAGTTCTAATAAAACAATAGCAATGGGATGGTTTCAGCTAGCAGTATATGATCTGATCCTGTGTCACAATTGGAAAGATTTAAAGATGCATCTTATGTAACACATCACATTAGTGTTTCGGGAACAATTTGTTCTAGAGCACACAAGGAGAAGCTAGTTTCAATGTAGCCATAAATAAAACACAGCTGGAAAAGGTTAAGCTTGAGCCATCAACATTTAATTAACTTTAATATTTTCAAGAGAAGAATTGTACCAAAATTTAGCTTGGCAATGAAAGGGTGGATTTCAAAAAAAATGAGGAAAGTACTAAAAAAGATGAAAGTATAGAAATTGAAAGTTTTAGACTCACAAGGACGCTAAAGGGTACAGTAACCGTCACAGATGGAATGCCAACTCCAAAACAAGAAAGAATTAGGAAGATAAGGGGAAAAAAGATGTGACTCAGAGGCGTTCTTCACAAAATGGAAATTGGCTTTGCATTGTGAAGGAGGAGGGAATGCGCTGGTCACCCTGCATATGTTGCATTGTATTGGATGCTAGTTGTATGTCCTTTTGTCCTAAAATGTATCTCTACTGTTTGGGTTGCTGTTGTCAGAACAGGGTGCATGGTGTAAACAGCTCCCACTTGATTTTCTGTAGTCTCAGTTCTCATGCCCATTTCTTACTGCTGTGTGGCTGTTGTATCTGTGTCTATGAAAATATAAATGAATCATGGTTCTTAAAAATGAAATAGCATTCTGAAGACTACAATATCAGTAAGGCAGTCACGTCTGTTTATAACATTGACTGACGCTAGTAGAGTTTTAGTATGATTTGAATTGTGTTTCAAAAAGCAAAAGGCAAGTCTTTTTAGCACACTGGTTCTCCTGGTCTTACCTCCCTTTTCCTACCATCCCTGGTGACATTGTTGTCGTGTTTGTTTTGGATTTCTGTTTAGCAGGCAAATCTTTTTCTGACATACGGAGATGACTCTGCAGGACTTTGCTATCACAGTATTCCTGGGAAGATTTATCTGCTGAGGGGTTCGAATTTTGCTGTATCTTTTTTTTGTAATTTATTTGTTATAGTAAAGAGGAAAATGACTTATAATGGAAGAAAAAGACTCTTACTGTGGAATTCCAGTGAAAACTAATACTGCACAGTTCAATTACTTATTTCAAGCCCTGGATCAAAATCATGATCAATAAGGAATCTTTCTGTGCTTCCTTCCTTTTGTTTATATAAACACCAACTTGATCTTGTTATCGGTTTCCTGATGACTTTAACAAGACTAGGACAATTGACTTAATGTCAATTTTGTGTTCCTCTCAGGGGGACTGTGTCCTGTACCGAACTCTGGAAGACTTTTTGCACAAAATTTCATCAAAAAATCTGACAGTTTCTGTGGCTTCACGCACCGGCTGTATTTTAAAATTACTTTTTCTGTGTTAATTAACTGAAGCTGGTAACAAGCATTGCTTATTGTGTTAAAAATGAAGAGTGTAATCCTGACCCTATTGAAGCCCATTGCAAACCTCACACTGAATTCAGTAGAGCCATGATTTCTCAGTACATTAATTCAGTTGCTGTGTTCCTTATTTCTAAATCATTTCCAACAAGTGACTGATGTGTTATGGAGTAATTCTGATACCCATTGTAAGTTGTTTGGAAAACATTCTATTGAGAGCTCTTCTTTAATATCAGTAGTATTTTCTGTCCCATGCTTATACATTATATTTGAAAAATAGCAGTTAACATGTCATGTAACATCCGATACAATTACTAGCCATTGAAATATTGTGTTTCATAAAAGATTTGATGCCTCTTTGCTTTGCAAATAAAACTGTTGAAAGTTCCCATCAGTACCATAAAATTCTGCTGATTGTGCAGGATTGTCACTTTTGCCTCCTCACATAGTAGATTACAAATGGGATTCTACTTGCAGTGCTTCTGGAAAGTGAAAATTAACTTGTCATAAGAAAATACAAATTAGCATGTCTTGTATTGACCATTCACTTTCACTCACTTTTTAATTCTCTCTATTTATCAGCAAATTGAATTTTTGATACAACTAGTGGAGGCTGGATTCTCCAATTACTGAGAATATTGCGCTGTGTTTTCAAAATAAAAATGTCTTTTCCTGTAGGCAAGTGACTGTCCCCCAGTAAAATGTCCAATGCCTAGTGGACATAGATTACCTCACTGGTTTATTTATGAGCTATTGCTGTGTTTAGGGGAGGGCAGATGTAACATGGGTTTGTGATTCCTGTGGGGCTGAGGTTCATTAATGGAGGTATAGAATCATTCCCTCAGGCAACTGGATCATGCCCTCTTCCCTATCAGACTCACCTGCTTTTGGTGGTGGGAAGATTATTTGTGTGGCCTGATGGAAAGGTGAAACATGGACAGACTTTCCATTATTGGAAATCTTGTGCCCTGAAATTCTGAGGGGCAGAATCTGGCTTAACCTCTGATAACATATACCCTCATATAATGCATGCTGAGTCACAATTTTTATTTTACACTGCATTTAGGATGAATTAAAACCCAATTGAATTCCTAAGTGCTAAAAGTTATGTGCACTCTCACCTCTTCCACTGTTACATTGCGTGTTAGAGTATATAGTTTTGTAGAAGGAGTTCTGCAGAAATGCCATTGCAAGCAATTTGCTGTTGAGAACATTTAAAGGCATTACAGAGACAGTAGTAAAACATTAGTGTAATAAAATTGACTGTTTGAATATCATATATTTTGTATCCTATTTGTACTTTAGTGACAGAACTGAAGAAACTTGCCTTTGATATATTTGTATATTGTAATATAGCCCTCATAGTGAAACTCTCATTTAAATGAAATGAGTGTGGGTTTTGCCTTTGCTTTTTATGGTGTCAAGATTTCAGCCCTAGTTTTTAACTTGTGTAGAAGGTTTTGTTAGTTTGCTTTGGGCAGATTTATTTCATAATATTGTTATTTTATGTCTTTGGAATACTGTGCACAGCTATCTAAATAAACTAAAGAGGAGTTAGTAGAGTTCAAAGCTAAAGAAGTCTCTAAGTATAAGATCTGGATATTCCTAGTAATTACCAAAACAATAATTTGTGAAGAGAATATTTTTTGTTTGGTACTGTTATTGCCAATTCATAAAAAGACATTGTGTTTCTTCAAATCCCTAAAGTGCTACTCTTTGGTACTTTTAGCATCCTAGTAAAGTGTCATTGCACAAATCTTCTATTTTAAAGTTCCTTCCCTTCTTTTTTTGATTAAAATCAAACTTTGAATTCTGGAGTTTTGTGGGCTTTATTTGTACTTTGTCTTGTTCTTGTGCATTTGCAGGCACATGAACTGATTTTTCAAAATATGCAGCTATGTGTACCTATCTGAGATCAGATGCAAGTATGCTTCCATATGTAAACAGTATTTGTTACTGTTATAAATTAAGAAAGAATCTCTTGACCTGTGATATTGGCTGTTGATATGAAGGCTTAGTTAAACCCAAACTAGGATAACTGTAATATGAATAACTTTCAAAATATAAGTTATATAGTTTGAATCCCTAGGTTATTATACCACTTGATTTCTAAAATTCAGATGCCTCATGAAGCACTGCTAAGCTGTGTAGTGACTGACTGACAAATTTCCAGTATGCAGTGATAATTTTATTTTAATGCTTATTTTACAATGCGCAATGCTATTTTTTGTTTCAACAGGACCTTCAAACATGGGTGGATGGTGCTAATGAAAATGGCTTTGTCCTTGTCTCATTTGGAGCTGGAGTGAAATATTTGTCAGAAGATATAGCAAATAAATTATCACATGCCCTGGCAAAGCTTCCTCAGAGGGTTATCTGGAGGTAAGAACTACAGTATAACATATGTTTGACATAAATTTGAAAGTTTCCCACTTCATGTTTGGGCTGTCCTGGTTGGAGGCACACTCAATTTGGGACACACAATGTACATAACCTGGATAGCAGGAGGGACTTAATTATTTCATGAAAGGTAATTTGTTGCCCTTTTTTAGACTCCTTCCCTGCACTTTTTCACAGATGCTGGATTTACAACATTGTCCATATAGTCTTCTAGCCGAGTACAATTCAGGTTATATTCAAGCACTGAAATGTAAGCCAGAAAGAAATATGAGGTACTTTGTGATGATATTAATTACATGTGGGTCTTTTAAACATTGTTGCTATTTAAAGACATATTAGAAAATGGGAATGACATCATAATAACAAACTGTTGCTTTTGGTTTAGTTGTTCTTTCCTGGAATTTAATTTTAGATACATTAATGCTGGATACAGTTTTTATATATTAAAACATTTAAAACCAAATACAAACTTTTGCTGGATATTTTCAAGAGTCAGATGAGTCTGTAATAAAAACGACTAACATTTATATAGTACCATTCAGAGAAAAATAAGATAGATTAAATGCTTTACCAATTGGAATCCTATCCTGGCAAAGAAATGTACGGGTCCTGGAGTAAACTATGACAGCTTAACACTGTGCAATAATTTATGACAGGAAATGAACGAGGGGGAATTTTTGGTGGTCTGGATATAATTACTCAATTATGGTTTTACAGCTGTATAGATTAGCGTGAATATGGTTGATTTAAGTGTTTGCAAATAGGAATGTTGTCTTTCCATTAAGGACAAGGTTTCCTCTGCTGGAGAAAGGACTGGGACCTCAAACTGGAAAATTTTAAAATCTATTTACTGGGTATTACCATTATCCTTCCACAAGCTTTGCAAGTAGAGATGATAGAAAACTTTGTCAGAACTGTTTTTCAACAGAAAACTGGCTTTACAACAAAACTCACACGTGTGTACGTGTGTGTGTGTGTGTGTGTGTACGTGTGTGTGTGTGTGTATAAGGAGCCTGCCTTCCATGGCAAATATTTAGTTTTCACTAGAAGATGAAATTCTTTTAGTTTTAATTTTTTTTTTAAAAATGAAATCTTCAGTTGAAAAGATCTACACAATGATTTTGCTACTATTTTTCATCCACATTTTTGCAGGGAAAAATATTTTTCTGACCAGTTCTATTTACAAGCTGTTCTCTGCTAAATGGCTTTTGGTGCAATATTACAAGGGCATGTGTCCAGTAATTTTTTTTTCTTTTGTGGGATGGTGACAAAGAATTGATTATTTACTGTTTTCTTGTTTGTCATGGTCTTCACTTCCCATCTTGACTACTAGATTATATTAGCGTTGTCACCATGATGATTATATTAGGGATGTAATAGTATAGTTGATTAATCGATTAACTGATAAGCAAAAGCTTCTAGGTTGATGCTATAGACTACATGCATTTCCGGCCCACCTCTTGTCAGTAAATTTTTTAGCAGGCTGGCCAGCAGCCCAGTTCAGTCCTAGCTTGCACTGGGTCCTGGACCTACCCCTGCTGTGGCTCTGCACTTAAAGGCTTCGTCTAGATTTGCATGATTTTCCGGAAATGCTTTTAACGGAAAAGTTTTCCGTTAAAAGCATTTTCGGAACAGTGTGTCTAGATTGGCACGGATGCTTTTCCGCAAAAGCACTTTTTTGCGGAAAAGCATCCGTGCCAATCTAGACGCGCTTTTCCACAAAAAAACCCCGGATCACCATTTTCGCAATCGGAGCTTTTTTGCAGAAAACAAATCTGAGCTGTCTACACTGGCCCTTTTGCACAAAAGCTTTGCACAAAAGGGTCTTTTGCCTGAACGGGAGCGGAATGGTATTTCCACAAGAAGCACTGATTTCTTACAGTAGGAAGTCAGTGCTTTTGCAGAAATTCAAGCGGCCAGTGTAGACAGCTGGCAAGTTTTTCCAGAAAAGCGGCTGATTTTCCGGAAAAACTGGCCAGTCTAGACACAGCCAAAGTGTATTAGGAGCCTGGTGGGCAGGCAGCCTGGCTCAGTTCTGGCTTGTGCCGGATCCTGGAGTTCAGACCCCTCCCCCCGGATAGGGGCTGCCCAGGGACTATAGAATAGTCGACTAACCGATAAGAATTCATGAGGTTAAGTGACTATTCAATTAACTGATATTTAACATCCTAAGATTGTATTCTTCCCTGTTGAGGTGGAATAACTAGTATTTTTGAAAACAGGAGTTTTAGGCACTCGAGTAAGGGAACTGATTTTCAGGAGAGTTGAGCGAGCTGCTTCTGTGCCCCTTGTGAGAGTCAATTGCCTTTGAATGCCAGTCCATAGAAAGCTTTCTGGTTTCAATGTAGATTTTTCTTGGTGGGTGTTCTCCCATGAACAAACACATTTTGGATATAGAGCTATAGCTAATATTCATAACTTCAGACACAGAGATGATACATGGATTTAAACAGGATAATCATATTTAACAAATTATAACTTTCCCATTCACACCATACATGACACACTTTGTGCAAGATTTGTTGTAGTTGTTTAACTGAGCCAATATTGATATAAATGGTAATGTTTCAGACATATATTATCTCACACATAGGGATTATTTGGCTAGTAAATAAAAACTATAGTGCCATTGTACAAATCAGACAATATGCTCATCTGGCAGCCACAGTGCAGGAAAACTAAATAACTGAAATTACTTTGTAGTTTATCAATTATTTTGTAGCATCTGAACTGTCTGACCTGCTAATACAACTCCAGTTTCATGTACTGGAACATAAATAGACCCTTTCCCCATGTGACTGTTTTTAACATCGAGAGATAATTTGGTTTGATTGTGTGTTTTACATTTCAATTTCAGAGCTTTTGAGAATTTATTTTGAAAGATGACTGTATTCTGTGCATTTTAGGTTTTCAGGAAGCCAGCCAAAGAATTTAGGTAACAACACAAAACTCAGAGAATGGTTACCACAAAATGACCTTCTTGGTGAGTGTACAATGTTGTGAAAGCCTGTTTTTTTATCAAGGTTTGTGGAGTTGACAGTGACGTAACATTTGTGAATTTAAAGCAAAACTTCTCTATGAGAAATAGTGCTGCAAGAATGTAGCATTCAGAATGACTTTAAGGTAATTAAACCAACCATTTTTTATGTTCTGAATGCAAAGTAAATTAATAATCCTGCCTCCCTGTAAAAGTGCAGTATGTCATGTATTGAGAATATAACTGAAGGGGAATAACAAACAGATTTCCATTTTCAGTTGTTTATAAAAATGTCCATTCTAGCAGTAAATTGTCCATGGTGATTCACAATGTTACGGGATTTTTGTCATTGTTTTACATGCTTGTTTTTTGGCTGGAAGAATTTAAACAAAATCCCTAATTGTTAAAATTTGAAAATTTAAGTACAGTAATTCCTCATTTAACACTATATATATGTTTCAGAAAATGATCATGTTAAGTGAAAACGTGTTATGCAGGGTCAATTTTCCCATTGAAAATAGTGGAAAAGGTGGGGGTTGCGTTTCAAGCGGTGGTGTCTGTTGGGACCGGGACATAAGGTTGGGGGAGAAAGGGGACTGGGTTACAGCAGGGAGGGGAGGTGTTTGGCTCTGGGGAAGAGGAGGAGAGGGGAGGGGGATTGGTTTGGGAGTATGGCTTGGGAGTATGGCTCTGTCACGGGTCTGCCGGGACCCGCACTGAGTCCGGTGAGAGAGGGCCTGCAAGTGGAGGCAGAGGAGAGGGGGCAAGGCGTCCGGCGAGAGGGAGTCAGCGGGGAATGGTGTGGTGAGCGGCAAACCCTCCGCTGTTTTACAGGGAGGCAGGGGAAGCCCCACACAGCCACCAGCAACGGGCCAGCTGGGGAAATCGTGTTATTCTGGGGACGATCGTGTAATTAAAAAAATGTTCCCTAAAAAAAAACATGCTGTCGTGAAAACATGTTAAGCGGGCACGTGTTAAATGAGGAATTACTGTATGCTGTTTCTCTGGATGACATCTTATGCTAATAATTTACTACAAACTAATACCTAATTGATTTCAGTGGTTAAAATCTGAATGAAACCTTTTTCAGAATATTACCACAAGCGTGTTCTGCTATTTTTCCTTAGTTTCCCCATCAGTACAGAGGTAATTGATTAGTTAATGTGTGTACAATTCTTTGAGTATATAAGGGGCTAAGTACAGTGATTATTATCATCATTTGGTTTTCATAATAGTTGAACACATTGGTTTTTGATTGAACAAGCACAAGGGATATACTAAGGGTATGTGTACACTGACAGATGTATACAACAGCAATTACAGCATTGCTCACAGAGTGCTGCAGGAAAATCACTGCTGTGTGTCCACACTGTGCTCCTTGTCATGGTGGAGTGCATCCACATTAGCATGTCTTCTTATACCACAGACAACAGTGCATTGTGGTAACTATCCCACTGTGCACCTGGCTGCAGGGTACTTTGGGAAGGATTTGGCAGTTTGCAATACCACATAGTGCAGGCAGCAAGCATCATTGCTCCATGGTCATCCTATTACACTGATGGCAGCTGTTCAGCTGAAATGTGGGAGGAGAGGGAATGTTGTGTGTGTATGTCCATGTGTGTGTGGGGGGGGACATACTGTGTTTTGGGGGACGTCAGCATGCGGTCTTGTAAGTTTGGTCAGCGGCAGGAAACAACCCTCCTGAAGCAGGGAGAGAGGAGAACCCTGACATTGCCTGCCGTCCCACACCTCCTTGGCTCTTTGTACAACAAACCCTTGTCACTTTTTCTCACTCAAACACAAACACCTACCTCTCTGATGAACGGCATGAGCATTCCACATGAATGGTTTGCTGCATCCCAGAGCAGATCAGCACAGCATGCAAGCTGTCCAAAATGAAGCTTTGAAAAGGGCACTAAATTTCAAATAATGAGCAGAATGGTCACTGGAGGGATTATGGGACATTTCTGGAGGCCAGTTACAATGCAGCAAATGATGTGTCCACACTGGCACTTCAGTACTGTAGCCGTTGCACAGAAAGCTCTACACTTCTCATTGAGGTGGTTTAGCTAGAATGCAGCAGCAATGGAGTTAGTGTGCACTAAGTGCCTTACCTCAGGAGTTACAGTGCTGGGAGCTGATTTACCATGCTGTAACTCACCGGTGTAGGCAAAGCCTAAGTCAGGTGTATCTGCAGTGGTTGTTTACTTTCTTCCCTCTGTCAGATATAATGTAAAACAATACATTATTATTTTATTTATTTATGCATTTATTATTTGTAGTATGGTAGTGACTAGAGATCTGGCTCCCCTGTGTTGGGCTCTATAGGCACAAAACCAAAAACATGTTCTTGGCTCCAAAGAGCTTATAACATGTTACATGTTTTATTTCTTTCAGTTCAGTAGAAATCCCTTTATCAGTCCAACAGAACATAAGCCTGGACAAAAGCATTTGAAGTGCATAGGAGGGTTTTTTTTACGGACTTTAATGGATTGTAGATCAGGCCACATCTGTGTGAGGAGAAATTTGTGATCTGTCTGCTCCATATACATGTAAAATAATGAAGACACAAATTCCTGGGATGAAAGAAGAGCCCCAGGGGAGTCTACTTCAGTCTTGGTCAGAGTTGCTGAGTCTATGAGATCGCTATCCTTTCCTCTCCTTTCTCATCTCTATTTTCTTCCCTAGTGGTTGGTTCTGGTAAGAAAGAAACTTTAAAAAAATATTATCTCATGCTTGCATTGCTTTTACAATGTACAAGGAGAAAGTCGCTTATGTAGAAATTTGCTAGAATCATGCTACCTTGGAACACTGTTGACCTGCAGGGCGGAGACAGACTTTTCCAGGCCCTCGGCAATTTATGGAAAGAGGCTCAGGTGTAAGGGGCGAGGTAAGGGGCAGCCAGACCTATGTGTTATCCAGACCATATTATGCCTCCCCCTGCCAGCCGTCAGTGTTGCCCGGATCGTGCCATGTGGGACTTGGGCATCTATTTAAAGAATCCAGGGCTCCAGCCGTTGCTGCTACAATGGTAGTGGCGGCGACACTTTTAAAATCTCTGGTCCCTCCTCCCATCAGCAGCCCTACTTTCCTGTAACTATTAGTAAGTTGAATACTATACGATATTTGCTTTATTAGCAAACACTTCAAATATGTAGCTTTTGTTCATGTTTACAGTGAAATTCCAGAAACTCACAGATGCACACAATTCACTCAAACCCGAGAAATGTGCATAAGTAGCAAAATATTTGTATTTGTGTTGCTTGTTCCTACAGAAAAATTATCAGGTTTAGAATGTGAATTACAAATTGCTAACAATTTTTATCCATTTATTTATCAGCATATTAAGCCAGAGCTGAGTTAGCACCTGAGAAATAGGAAGTCAAATAACTATATTTCAGACATAATAAGGTTTTTTAAAGAATATTTAATACTTATATATTCCCAGGAGCTTTTCCCCTTTTGGGTCAAAGTGTATGAAAACACTGTTGAGCTTAGAACCCAATCAAAGCTCATGGTTGTTTCTAGGTTACTTACAAGTTGTTTGCAAATCAATGGCAGTCTGAGTCATTGTACAAAGTAATTTATTAAAAAGTAAATAAGTGTGTGTGTGTGTGCGCGCGCGCTCTCGCACATGCTATGATGTATTGTTACTTTTACAATCAGACCATTTTACCCCAAAGAAAGATAATTATACTGTAACTAAAGGCTCCTATTATTTTAATGAATTCTTGGGGATGAGTGTTCTTTGCTTGGTTCATTTATAATGCTAAGTTTACTTTTAACTGACTGTTGTTGATTACTACCATTAAAATATGCCATCAGCTTCTGCCCCTTATTAAATTGATGTTGTATTTAGTCAAAAATAAACACCAGGCTAAATAGGATGCTCCAGTTCAATCTTAACATTGTCTGGATATAAAAAAGGACAGGAGACACTTGATATGGATTTTAATCAGACCTCAGTGTTATTATATAGATGTCTCGGACTACATGGCAGATTAAGTGTACAGTACATGTAAATCCATGTTTATTCAAATAGTTATCTGGGGCTTCCATCAGCCTCACTTCATTTCAATCTAAGTTCCCCAGCCAACTCATGGCTTGAACCTTACTATCCACCACCTTTATAGGAGGGCTTAGGTGGGCTATGAGAGTGGGGAGTTGGCTCCCTTCTATACCAAACATGGGAGTCCCTAATACCCCTCACTCATTTTGTTCCTTTATCCAGCACCTTTACCAGGCCATTTATCTGATCCCTGGATGCCTTCCTATGGAGTACTTGCACTGGATGCTGCCACAAGGAGGCACCAGCAATTTTGTTGGCTTCTTCCCAAACATCTCCCAATGGCCTCTTGCTTAGTGACCCAGTTTGCTGAAGGGTTCTTTCGGGGAAAAGAACTCATTGTCTCTTTCAAGATCATTAAGGGACGTCAGCCACTTCATTGTCTTTGACCAGGGATCACAACCATCTACCTTCACAGTGAGCTGTATTGGTGACTTGCACTCTGTATTCTTGAGCAGACAGAACTCATTAAGAGAAAACAAAATAACTAATTTGTGTTCCTGGAGCCAAACCTCTCCATTCCACTAACCACATCCTATTCCAAGATTCCAGGGAGTCAGCGGCAGCTCCTCGGATTTCCTGCTAGGCCCTAGTGCGAGCTCATGAAATCTGTCAAAATGGAAATGAGACCAGGTGTCTGCTATTCCATTATGCATTCCATACTTAGAAGAAAAACAGATGTTGAAGGTTAAATATTGTAAAACAAATGCCCCCAACCAACTTCATAACCCTGTGTGATCTGGAAGTTTAGGCGATTGCTAACCTGTACCACTGCCATATTGTCACACTTGTTGCATAGGACAAAGAGGCTTCCCCTCAACCAGGGCTTGCACTTTTTGGACCTCACATTCCTGGGCGGGTGATTCAGTGCCACAAAGCTGACTACTGTCCACCTCTTTGCAGACGTCTTTGACCTCTTTCCAACCTTCTTCCGGCCATAAAGCAGTCTCATAGTCCTTCACCAAACCCAGACAAACCCTACCCCCACTTTTATTGTGGTGCGGTCATTCCTTCATCTTTTCCAGTAACCTGGAACCCCTCTGTACTACTCTCCATTCTAAACAGAAATCTGAGGAAATGAGGAGTAACGGTAGTTCGAACTAGGAAGCCTAGTTCGAACTACTTAGTTCGTGCCCCGTGTAGCCGCACTGCATGGGGTTCGAACGGCTTTATGCAAATGAAGCCCAGGAAATTCAAATCCCGGGCTTCATTTGCAACTCCGTATGACTATATTACCCCCCCTAGTTCGAACTAGGAGGGTAGTGTAGACATACCCTCTTTCTCCAGAGGGATGTAAATTAGACATACCAAAATTGCTAATGAAGTGGGGATTTAAATATCCTGCTCTTCACTAGAATAAAAATGGCTGCTGCTTTTTGCTGACGTGGCACTTTGCCGGCAAAAAGCGGCAGTCTAGACAGGAATTGGTCGATAAGGAAAGCCTTTTCCCACTGATCCCTTATGCCTCGTGCAACGAGGTATACAGGATCGGTCGGAAAAGCCTTTCCCTGTCGACCAATCCCCGTCTAGACAGCTGCTTTTTGCTGGTAAGCGGTGGCCATTTTTATTATAATGAAGCGCGGGATATTTAAATCCCTGCTTCATTAGAAAATTTGGTATGTCTAATTTACATCCCTCTGGCAACAGAGGGATGCAGTCTAGACACACCCCTAGAATAGAACTAGTAGGAATCTCTCAGTATCAACTTACAATTTATATTAATTTTTTAAACCATGTGTGTAAAATAAGGTTTTCATTTTGCTGAATATACTCCATTTTGCATATTGAACTGTAAGGAATGAGAAAATATGGATTGCAAAATTTCTGTGGCCTAAATTGAAGAAGGTATTTACATAACTTCAGGCAATTGTGTGTACTTTCCTGAAGACTTAGAAACTTGATACTCAGATTTAGTGAACTATTTTATACTGTGCATCACAAAATCTTTGAAAAAGGAATCTTTAAAATTGGTTTGGACAAAAACAGAGGCTTGAAAACAAAGGATATTGATAATAGTAATATATTAACTTGACAGAGAGAGGCATCCAATGGAGACCTGGGTTTTGTTTAACATATTCACCCATGAACTAAGAAAGAGCTTAAAACAGTAAAATATTCAAATAATACTTGTTTAGCAGAAGTTGCTGAATGGGGTAATTGAGCTTTTTATCCCTAATTTTAGTAATTTTATCGTACATATAATCCATGTTTGTAAAGCATTTTCTTTTACTTCACTCATCTCTGTAGGTCATGCTAACATTAAAGCCTTCCTTAGCCATGGTGGTTTGAACAGTATTTTTGAAACCATGTACCATGGAGTACCTGTGGTGGGAATTCCTCTCTTTGGAGACCATTATGATACTATGACCCGAGTGCAGGCCAAAGGCATGGGAATATTATTAAACTGGAAAACAATTACTGCAGACGAACTTTATGAAGCACTGGTGAAAGTCATTAATGATCCCAGGTAAGGAAATGTTGTTTCCCCCCCCAAATTGTCATTATGGGTTAAATCTTCATGTAAATTAAGATTTGTCTACACAAATATTTATACAAATGGAGATTCCTGTACACAACTGCTGCCTGATTGTCCAATACCATCATAGTGGTATACTGTAAACAATCAGAGTGGCATGAAGAGCATTGTTGGGGCAGCCAAAGACTACTCTGTGTCTTGTGCACAGAAGGAATTAACCTTGATTGACCTTTTATATTGTTTGAGCTAAAACACCAGATTCAGAATCTCTGCCAGGCAGGGGAATGGGATTATCATCAGTTCACACCTACAATGATTTATCATTATTGTAGAATCTGTCAGAGGGTTCTGATGGCTTCCCAAACAAAGAGGAAAGTAGTTATTCTTTTCCAGATTTTAGAGACATTTATATCTGGGGTTCAACCAAACCTACAGCAGGATAGAAAAAGTTACACCGTCTCTGGGCTTTCAGAAAGGAAATTGGAGAAATCAAATAATATATTATTAGGGATGTAAAATGATTTAAAAAAATGAATCATGATTAATCACATGATTAAAAATTATTTGTGATTAATTATGCAATTAATTGTGGTGTTAAATTATAATAGAATACCATTTATTTCAATATTTGCGGATATTTTCTAGATTTTCAAATATATTGATTTGTGGTACAACACTATGCAAATGTACCTTGCTCATTTTATATTCATTTTTATTACAAATATTTGCTCTATAAAAAAGATCCAAAAAGAAAAAATAGTTTTCAATTCCCCATTGCAAGTACTGCAGTGCAGTCTCTTTATCATGCAAGATGAATGTACAAATACAGTATTATGTTAAAAAAAAAAAACTCCAACACCTTCATTTAAAAATAAAACAAACTTTAGAGCTTAGTAGAAGACTCATCTGGCATTTCTCAAGTCCTTAGCTTAATTAATTTGGTTTTTTTTAAATAAAATCAAAATGTACATGTTATATTTAAATTGTTGCTCTGGAGTGGGGCTGCACACGAGGGGTTCTGTGTGCAGGCTGTCCTGGTAAGAGAGGACGATCCCAGCCCTCTGCCACTGCAGCATCTTAGTGCCATGTGAGAAGCTCGTCTCCATTGCCACTATAACTCCAGTGGGCACAGTCAAGGGAGGGATGTATGTCCCCTTGCTGGGGCAAGTCCAAGTTCATTTGCCCCCTGTGCTCCCCAGCCAGAGTGAGGATGCAGCAAACTGTGCCCTTTCCCCTCACTTCCTGACAAAGGGGAACTACCACCAATTGAAGAGGGAGCTTCATTCCTAAAGGGCTCAGAGTGGGGGTTGGGGGGGGGGAAGGCTAGGGACTAGGACAATCCTGGAGCGGCAGCCAGCCCCTTTCACCTGTTTGGTGATTCTGTCTCTTTTCTCTAAGGTTTTCTGAGAAGCAAGCCCATTCCAGGCACATCCCATTTTCCTGACACAACCAAACCCTTACCTAGCTTTAAGTTATATTCAGAAGAAGCTGTGTACCGAACATGGTGGTCGTAGTTCTTATTATTTAGGAGGAGTTCTTGAACAAATAGACAAACACATAGGCATATTGCAGATGATTTCATGAGAGATTACACTTAGTCTTGTTATAGTGACAGATTCATGCTGTCATCAAGACTATTGCCACTGGTGATAGCTCACATTCTCAGGGAGTGTACCCAAGTTCACACTGTAGCTAATGTGAGAAAACCAACTGCTATACCCAGTGATTAGCGTACTGCTAAATACCCCATGTTCCACAAGAGGAAGAATGTTCATGTGTCAGAACCTTATTCCAAATATAGATTATCATTTTTATCACACAGACTTTATCTAAAAGAGGTCAATGTTCAAACTATTTCTCTAATGCATTATACTGTAGGAGCTTTGGAGTACAATGGGGACACAGCCTATCAAGTTGATAGGGTTAGAAGTTGTAGGTCATATTTTTATTGTCTTTGGGCAGGATAATGCTGAGTAAATGCAATAGAAGGCCTAGGATTTTAATGAAGGAAAAAATATCCAAGTAGAAAGTTGCAAAGAAAATCTCGAGAACACTTGTTACGCCAGCCTTCCAATGTACAATTATCTGATGTGAGGAGAGGAATTTCTCTTTAGTAATCTGTTTGCCCTTGAGAAAGAGTCCCCATGAGCAGGGTATTCTGGTCATAAAAATCAATTAATAAATGCATCCTCCACCTGAAAAATCTAGGTTAAAACAGTGTAAAAACTAGGCAGACTATATTAGTGACATGGCATATCACTTTATTCTGACGTTCTCTAATAACTGCTAACATTATTTTCCATATTTCATTGGACAGGAGTATAAATGAACATGTTGGACAGTCTGTGTCCGGAAAAACAACTGAAGACAGTTGGCTATTTTTGAAAGGGACATTATTAAGGGACCAAAAGCAAATTATTCCACCCTGTAGGAAAGATAGAGAGTATGGCAAGAGACCACCTTGGCTTAACCAGGAGATCTTACATGATCTAAAAATCAAAAAGGAATCTATAAAAGGTGGAAACTAGGTTAAATTACAAAGGAGGAATATAAGCAAGTAACACAAGTATGCAGGGGCAAGTTTAGAAAGACAAAGGCCCAAACTGGGCTCAATCTAGCTAGAAGAGGTAAGAAGAAAACATTCTACAAATATATTAGAAGCAAGAGGGGAGACCAAGGACAGAGTAGGCCCATTGCTCAGTGAAGAGGGACAAACAATAATAAGAAACTTGGAAATGGCAGAGGTGCTTAATGATTTCTTTGTTTTGGTTTTCACCAAAAAGATTGATGGTGACAATATGCCTAACATAGCGAATGCTAGTGGAAATGGTGTAGGTTTAGAAGTTAACATTTAAAAAGAACAAGTTATAAATTACTTAGAAAAGTTGGATGTCTTCAAGTCACCAGAGCCTGGAGAGTATTTTAGGAGCGGATACAGGAGCTTTCTGAGCTATCATCTTTAGCTATCATCTTTGAGAAGTCATGGAAGTTGGGAGAGATTCCAGAAGGCTGGAAAATGGCAAATATAGTGCCCATCTGTAAAAAAAGGAAATGAGAACAACCCAGGAAATTACAGACCAGTCAGTTTAACTTCTGTGCCAGGGAAGATAATGGAGCAAATAATTAAGGAATTCATCTTCAAACATCTGAAAGATAATAAGATGTTAGGAAACAGCCAGCATGGATTTGTAAAGAACAAACCATGCCAAAACAATCTGAAAGCTTTCTTGGATAGGATAACAAGTCTTGTGGATAAGGGAGAAGCAGTAGAATTGGTATACCTAGACTTTAATAAAGCATTTCATATGGTCTCACATGACCTTCTTATCAATAAAGTAGGCAAATACAACCAACATGGGGCTACTATAAGGTGGGTGCATTACTGTCTGGGTAGCCATTTTCAGAGAGGAGTTATTAATGGATCACAGTCATGCTGGAAGGGCATAACAAGTGGGGTTCTGCGGGGATCTGTTTTCAGACCAGTTCTGTTCAATACCTCCATCAATGATTTAGATGATAGTATAGAGAGTACGATTATTAAGTTTAGAGATGTTACTAAACTGGGAGGGATTGCAAGTGTTTTGGAGGATAGGGTCATAATACAAAATGACCTGGACAAACTAGAGAAATGGTCTGAGGTAAATACGATGAAGTTTAATAAGGACAAATGCAGAGTACTTCACTTAGGAAGGAACAGTCAGTTTCACAGTGGCAGAATGGGAAGCGGCAGTCTAGGAAGAAGTACTGCAGAAAGGGTTGAGGGTTCATAAGGACCACAAGCTAAATATGAGTCAACAGTGTGACACTGTTGCAAAAAAAGCAAACATGATTCTGGAATGCATTAACAGGAGTATTGTGAGCAAGACACGAGAAGTAATTCTTCCGCTGTACTCTGCATTAATTAGGCCTCAGTTGGAGTATTGGGTCTAGTTCTGAGCACCATATTTCAAAAAAAATGTGGAGAAATTGGTGAAGATTCAGAGAATAGCAACAAAAATGATTAAAGGTCTAAAAAACCTGAGCTATGAGGGAAGACTGAAAGAACTGAGACTGTTTAGTTTAGAAAAGAGAAGATGGTGAAGGGACATGATAATGGTTTTCAAGTATCTAAAAGGATGTTACAAGAAGGAGGGGAAAAATTGTTTCCCTTGGCTTCTGATGGCAGGACAAGAAGCAAGGGACTTAAATTGCAGTCAGGGAAGTTTCGGTTGGACATTAGGAAAAACTTCCTAACGGTCAGGGTGGTTAAACACTGGAATAAATTGCCTAGGGAGGTTGTGGAATCTTCATCACTGGAGATATTTAAGAGCAGGTTAGATAGACATCTATCAGGGATGGTTTAGATGGTACTGGGTCCTGCCGTGAGTTCAGGGGCCTGTTCTTAATGATCTTCAGAGATCCCTTCCAGTTCTAGTAATCTATTATTTTGTTATAAGACTGCCTCCTGAGGACCTCGAGAGGTCTCTAATAAGTTAGGTTTAATTTTCAATGTTAATGAAATTCACTGCATGTAGAAGGCCAACAGAAGAGTAATGCATCAGTGAAATCCCATTTAAACCCTTCTGCTGGCCCTCTGCATGAAGTTAATTTTACTCCATTTTAACCTATGTATAGAGATCGATGTAGGTACCACTACTCTCCGTATTTATTTTTACTGTTGCATTGAAGAGGACTCACTTGTCTTATGGTGCATCTCAAACACCTGCCAACCACTGTTCTTTGTCATTCTCTTTTTACTCTACTCCACTTAGTATTAAGAATTTCAAGTACATTTCTCTCTTCACATGGAAAATTGTCATTTGAGAGTAAAATAATCTTAATTTTTTGCATTATTTGTTTCATTCCCACAGCTACAGGCAACGGGCCCAAAAGCTGTCTGAAATTCACAAAGACCAACCCGGCCATCCTGTTAATCGGACAGTGTATTGGATTAATTACATCCTCCGACACAACGGAGCACAGCATCTACGTGCTGCTGTTTACTCTATCTCTTTTCATCAGTATTTCTTACTGGATATTGCCTTTGTTGTACTACTTGGTCCTGCCTTATTCTACTATATTTTTGCCAGGATAACAAAGTTTATCCGTAAACAAAGCAAACATCTTTGGTCAAGTGACGAACATAGCACCATTAATGGACATTACCACAACGGGATACCAAATGGCAAATACAGAAGAAATGGTCACATTAAACATGAAAAAAAGGTGAAATGAGCCAATTACCCCATGTGCAGTAGTAATAAATCACATCAATAATTGAATTTTATCGCTGTAACTTAGTCTAACAACTACTTAAAGTAAAACGTCAGTAAACAGTTCTAACACTCCCCTACAATATGTAATCTTATATGATGAGATTCTATAGAACTAAGAAACATCTTTAAAAACAAAACAAAAAACACAACCTAAAATGTAAAGTGTATTTTATTCTTAATACTGATGCAGAGAGGTTATTTTGGCACTGAAATTTTTAGAAGCCTTAATTCGCTCAAGTAATTCAATGTCCTTATTTATGATTTCCCAGTTTTTAAACATGAATATGTGTGTCCCAAATAAGGAAAGGCTTCCTTTTACTTTTTATTTTCTTATTTTTATTTAAATAACTTTAGAGCTAGCTCTGTGTTATATTTGTTAAAGGTTTGACATGTTGTCTAAGAATGATGTTTCAATAAAGTCACCTTTCCCAGTGTTTGACACACAGCAATTAAGTTGCAGATTGAGAACGCAGCCATAAGAGAACTTTCTCAAAACTGAACATTGAAGAAAAATGGAAAAAGTATTTACAGTTTTCCCCCAATAGACTACGTAACTTTTCTGTTCTTTGCCATTGCTTTAAAGAAAAGGATTTTGATTAATCTAAGCTAAGTTGTAAATTTTATATTTATGTATGTTTTAATTTTATTTTGTTTTCTGGGGGTTTATTTGCCTTTCCC